TGTACACCGAGGAGACCGGACTGCGTGTGTCTGTGTGTTTGTCAACAACTCCTGGTGTGGAGATGTACAGACTGTCTATAAGCACTGTTCGCCAGATGTGGAGTTTTTATTGCTGAAATGCTGCCCCTATTATCTACCAAGAGAATTTAGCTGTGTGTTTTTGGCTGGAATATATATATAGCCCCAAAAGCTAATTCCACGGCAGCTCTCAGCAAACTCCATAATGTCATCAGCGCACTAGAGACAGCTCTTCCTCTTGCTGTTTTCATCGCCACAGGCGACTTTAATTGGTGCAGTCTATGGACTGTATTCCCCAAATATTACCAACAAGTGGACATTCCCACCCAGGACAAGAACACACTGGATCATGTTTACAGTAACATACGTGGTGCATACAGGGCTGCACCCTGCCCCCACTTCAGATGCTCGGAACACATTTCTTTGTTCCTGTATTCAGCTTACAGACAAAGACTGAAACAAACAAACCCTGTCACTAAACAAGTGAAACTTTGGAACACAGAGACTCAGAGCACCCTGCAGGACTGTTTTGCCCAGACAGACTGGGATGTGTTTAAAGCTGCACCCACCATGGAGGACTTTTCTGTCAGCATAAAGATTATGCTGAGTATGTGACCGGGTACATTAGTACCTGTATTGACAACATTGTGCCCACCATACAAGTCAGGAGGTTCCCCAACCAGACGCCCTGGATAAACAGTCAGGTACACCACATGCTGCGTGCTCGCTCTCATGCATTCAGTTCAGGCAATGAGACGGAGTTCAAAGCTGCAAAGTACAGACTGAGGAAAGCCATAACAACAGCCAAGAGGCCAGTACAGGGAGAAGCTGAGTGGCATCTATTCTATTGCTGACTCCGGATGGATGTGGCAAGGCCTGCAGCACATCACAGACTACAGGACCTCCACCAACATCATCAGCCCCACAGACAGCCTCCCGGATGACCTCAACACCTTCTACACCGACTTTGAGACCTCCACAATCACACACACACTGAGACCACCCAACCCCCCTCCACTCCATTAACTGTCTCATCAGGCCAGGTGCCCAAAGCCCTGAGGATGATCAACCCCCACAAGGCAGCAGGACGAGACAACATCCCTGGTAGGGCTCTCAGGGCATATGTCAATGAGCTGGCTGATGTTCTCACCTCCATCTTCAACCTTTCCCTCAGCCAGAGCATTGTTCCCACCTGCTTTAAGACCACAACCATTGTCCCCCTTCCCAAGAAGAGCCCGGTCACCTGCCTGAACGACTACAGGCCTGTGGCACTCACTCCAATACCAAATGTTTTGAGAGAGTGGTGCTGGCCCACATTCGGAGCATGGCAGCATTACTGCTATAGACTGCAAGCACCTGCAGAGAGTGATAAAGACTGCGGAGAAGATCACCAGGCCTCCACAGCCCTATCTGCAGAGCATTTACCACCACAGGGTGCAGAGGAGAGCTGCCTCCATCCTCAAGGACCCCACCCACCCCCCAGCATGGCCTGTTCACAGCCCCACCCTCCGGCCCGAGGTTCAGAAGTGTGAAATGCAGGACCTCTAGACTGAAAAACTCTTTCTTTCCCTCTGCCATCAGACTCCTAAACATCTGATAGGAGTTTATTACCAGGAAATATGTCATGTAATGACGTACTGATGACCTGCTGTATTTGAGGCTGCATCTTTGAATAGCTGAAAAACCAGATTTTCAGTCAACAACCCCTCATTAGTGTGGAGAAGTCTGAAAAACTACTAGCTACTGGACCCCCAGCCCCACTGTGGAAAGGCATCAACTGGCAGGTGACCTGAATGTGTTTTACTACAGGTTTGAAAGGTAGAACTCCACACCCATCACCCACCTCACCTCCGACCCAGTAGCCACTTCACCCAGCAATCACCTAAGGATGTGTGTGGCCTTTTAAAAAAAAACAAAGATCAGAAAGGCACCAAGCCCAGATGGTGTGACCCCCTCCTGTCTGAAAGCTTGTGCTGATCAGCATCTGTAGTTATGAAGTCCTTTGAAACACTGATGTTGGCCCACCTGAAAGGCATCAAAGACCACCTGCTGGACCCCCTGCAGTTTGCCTACCAGGCTAACAGGTCAGTGAACGATGCAGGGAACATGGCACTGCATTACATCCTGCAACACCTCAACTCCCCAGGGACCTATGCATGGGCCTTCTTCGTGGACTTCAGCTCAGCATTCAACACCATCATCCTGGACATCCTCCACTTCAAACTGACTCAGCTCACTGTGCCTGCCCCACCTGTCAGTGGATTACTAGCTTTCTGACAGACAGGAAGCAGCAGTTGAGGCTGGGGCAAACCACAGCACCCAAACTATCAGCACAGGCAACCCCCAGGGATGTGTGCTCTCCCCTCTGCTGTTTTCACTCTGCACCAATGACGGCATCTCAAAGGACTCCTCTGTCAAGCTCCTAAAGTTTGCAGATGACACAACGGTCATTGGTCTCATCCGAGATGATGACATGTCAGCCTACAGATGGGAGGTTGAGCAGCTGGTCCTATTTTGTAGTTACAACAATCTAGAGCTGAACACACTCAAAACAGTGGAGATGACAGTAGACTTCAGGAAGAACCGCCCCACCTTACCCCCCTCACCATACTTGGCAGCACTGTATCAGCAGTAAAGTCCTACAAGTTCCTGGGCTCCACCATCTCCCAGGACCTGAAGTGGTTGTCTAACATCAGGACCATCATCAAGAAGGCACAGCAGAGGATGTACTTCCTGCGCCAGCTCAGGAAGTTCAACCTGCCCCAGGAGCTGCTGATACAGTTCTACAGAGGAATCATCAAGTCTGTTCTCTGCACCTCCATCACTGTCTGGTTTGGCTCAGCAACCAAACAGGACAAGTACAGACTCCAGCAGACAAGTTAGGACTGCAGAAAAGATCATTGGTGCAAGCCTGCCCTCCATGGAGGACCTGTACACCTCACAGGTCAAAAGGAGAGCAGAGAAGATTTCTGCAGACCCCTCACACCCGGGACACATTGTGTTTGAACTCCTCCTCTCTGGACAGTGACCTGTAATGCCGGGGAGGCAACAGTGTGGTGGGTAGAGCAGCAGTCTCCCAACCAGAAAGTTGAAGGTTCAAATCTCAGTGCCTGCAGTCCACATGTCAAAGTGTCCTTGGGCAAGACACTGACCCCTCCCCAATTGCCCGCAATGGTTAGAACCATCGGTTGAGTTGATGCCTGTGCACCAAGACAACCAGGCACAAGAACAGTTTCTTCCCCCAGGCTGTCACCCTGATTAACATTTAACCTACGACATTATGACTGGACAATAACCCTCAGTGCAATACCTGTAAATATACACTGTACAGATTATACAGGTCTCTATTTTTAAGTACTCCATTTTTATTCTTATTTTTATCTAGTTTCCTAATGAACATTGCTTTGTATGTTTACATTGTTTATTGCTTTGTTTATACTGTTTACTTTTCATTGTTTATTGCTTGTTTATACTGTTTACTTGCCCCTTGCTCTTGCTTTACATAGGATTGAGAGACGCTGTACCAAACCGAGTCAAATTCCTTGTGTCCAACACACCTGGCCAATAAAGCTGATTCTGATTCTGATATACATTCAATTGCAACCAATAAGAATTCAATTTAGATACAGCTCTTGGGAACTATTATTTATTTTGTAATTTTTTATGCATTACATCTGTTTTATTATCTCTGTATGTATTGCAGACATCAGACAATACAATACCTATGTTATATCAGATAGCATTCTGCTGAACACTGGATACCTAACACTTGTTTACAGAGGTAAGGAGGTGGAAAGCACAGCGCACCTGCACCCTGCCAGCTGGTTCAAGTGTCCAACCAGTGGGCCAAGAGGTTTTGCGTAACATAACCTGGGGTTCCTATTGATAATAATTCCTAGGTGGAGATGGATGGCTGATAACAGGGGAAACATCCAGTCGGGCCTCAGATTTGCATCTCTGGGGTCATATATGGCTGTGGCTCAAGAGGTAGGGCAGTCGTCTCGCTGACCAGCAAGTTGGTGGTTCGACTCCCGGTCTCCCCGCACGCCTAAGTGTCCCTGAGCAAGACACTGAACCCCGAATTGCTCCCGGTGGCTTGATTAGCGCCGTTGTGTGGCAGCTGTCGTCATCGGTGTGTGAATGAATGGGTGAATGGTGGTATGATCTCCCTGTAAAGCGCTTTGGAAAAAAGCGCTATATAAATACAGTCCATTTACCATATGTGACCTGGTGACCTTTGGAAGTCAGATCAGTCTGCACTAGCAAAATGAGATTTATCTATCTATTTGAAAAATATTAACTGATAACTTTAAACTGACTGTCTTCTGTTAAACAGGCTAAACAGATCCTTTAAGGTGACTCGTAAATATATTTGCTCACATTTACACCATTTGTTTTTTTTAAAAAGCATGCTTATTATGTGTTTAATAATAAAAGCACATTGGAAATTGTAACTCTGAAGACACTGCTTTAAATGTTTGTTTAAATTTATATTTATAACTGATGAATTTACAAAACCATTATATAAGAAAAAGTGCTTACACAAAAGACTACTTGCTATGTGACACTCTTTTAATTTAAAATTTATTGCAGGGTGTCCATTGATTCAACAAGAAACAGAGATTTAATGTGTGTCCAGTTTATGTGAGACAGACAGGAAAGTCCAGCTTGGTGAAGGTGACCTGTGAGTTTGAATGGTGTTTTGTGCCAAATCAAATTCCCTGCCCTAAAAGAAAAGCAAGCTTTTTTCTTACATATGGCCCAGTAAGAGAAATGTCTAAAAGCCAGTCTTATTTAACATGAATTTAGCCACTTAAAAACAATACAGTGGCCACTGACATGAATTATGCTTTCCAAACAATTTAATAGAATCATGGCACAAAATTCATAAATGTGAATGTTATGCTTGGCTTTTACTGTTGACATTGACCACAAACTATTAAGACAAATTCCACAATCGGGGCATCTAACAACAATATTGTCTATTTTCTCACATAGGCATTTCTTCCAAACTGTCTGGATGGCTCCCCTGGTTCCTTGTGGAGGCTGTTGGCTGTGTTGCTGTGCTTGTTCCGTGTCATCACAAATGATGCAGCCCCGCTGTAGGTGTATTCAGCTCTGCAAAAACCAGGAGAAATTTAGCAGGTATGTCTAGCATGTTAGCATGCTAACATTTGGTAATTAGCACTACACAATTGGCACAGCTGAGGCCCGTGGGATTGTCATGGGTTTTCATGAATTTGGTATTATATAAAATAAATTAGTTAAATTTGTGGCACAGGTCAAGGTGACTTTCATGTTCAAAACGTCCTTGTTACTCAGTTATAACAAAGAAAACATTCAGCCGTCATCGGTCCCGAAACTAATCCAAATAACATCATGCAATTTGCCCTGTATGTTCAGCAATTATGAGACAAGATGCTGAAAGAGATTACTGGATGTTTTCAACTGTAACCACCTCTCTAGCGCAGTTAAAGTAATTATTTAAATTGCCTGATTGAGCTAGGAACTCTGTGCAGTTTTGAGTGTGCCCAAGTCAGATTTCATCTAAGCTAATGTTGCTCATGACAGATGTAGGATCACATTCTTAGTATGCAGCATGTCAGCAAAACCAAGCAACCTACTTGATATTAAAGACTTAAGACAGGGAAAGACAGAAGATAAGTCCTCCTAGGATGCACAACACAGATCCAGCCCAGCCAATGAAGAGAGCAGCTCCTAGTTCAATTCTGCAGGGTTGACATGAAGGGGGAAAACAAGTGTGACTGTTCTTCCTTTCACGTGAATGTGCTTTTGATCTGCTGTCAAATTCTTTTAATCCCAAATACTTACTTCTGAGCAACAAAAAGGGGGTCAAAGAAGTCTTTGTGATCTTGTGAGCATATCTGGATTTACCACTGAGAATGAAGTGGATGCCAGAGAGGATGGTCAGGCGAGCTTTGGTGATCTTTGACCCTTCTATTTTTGTACACTTCATTCCTACCAAAGCGAGGATGGCACCAAAGAAACCCAGACACACAGCGCCAATCATCACTCCTCGACACACCTGGATATAGGCTTTATGATAGAGAGGCAAGGAGAGTGCTTTAAACTAGTGACTTTTGGTTTGTGACAAAGTAATGTCTACTTGTCAGCCCCCACAGCAGGTTTTTCTCCAGAATATTTTGTAAATTTTCGTGCAAATTAAATGAGTTATAACGTGTAAACTTGTGAGTTTTGGAGGTGCTGCTGGAAGGCAGAATATTTTATGTTTTGACAGAGCCAGGCTAGCTGTTACCTCCTGCCTCTGGCCTTTATACTAAGCTAATTAACTAAATGGACTGTATTTATATAGCTCATATTTCACAGTGTGTTACACTGGCCAAAGCACTTTACAGGAGCTCATACACATTCACAACAAGAGGCTGCCACACACTCGCGCCAGTCGAACCACCGGGAGCAATTGGGGGTTTAGTGTCTTGCTCAGGGACACTTAAGCATGTGGGGAGACCGGGAGTCGAACCACCAACTTGCTGGTTAGAAGACGACTGCCCTACCTCGTAAGCCACAGCCACCCACACAACTAGTTGCTAGCTGTAGCTTCATATTTAGAAACAAACATGAGTGGCGTCAAGCTTCTCGTGTTCTTTTAGCAAGAAGATGAAGAAGCGTATTTGACACTTTCAAGATATTTCTTGGCCTAGAAAGGTGAGAGATTTCCAGTTCTTTTCAACTTGTGCAACTATTAGAGGAAGTTAAAAGGGCGATTTACATTATTTTTAAATGAAAAATCAATCACATGACTTGTATGTGAAAGGAGTTACTCAAAGTGTCAAACCCACCAAGTACTGCCACTGTTAGATCCGCTCGGACACAGAGGTGAGCAAGTCAAAAAAAGGATGGACCCAGGTGGCTGACTTCAGTGCAAGTAGTACTCAGTTTATTTACAGTGATATCTTACAAGGAAGTGAATAACCAGGTTGAAGTGGGACCGGTTGTCGAGCCGCAGAAGGTGAATAACAGTCAGTGGTGGAATGATGAGGGAAAGGCCGGGCTGCGGACGCTGGGACTCACTCCTGGGCTGGTCGTGGTGGAAGGTTGCCGAGGAGACAGAGTTAGTACATGCAGTTAATGGGAGACTGTGCATCGACCTGCGTGGTGGAGATGGTACAGGGTTGAGGAGGTCCGTGGTCCGGAGAAGCGACAGAGGCGAGGAGGCTGAGACAATGGGGCACAAGACTGGAACGGGGCTAGGGGCCCTTTAAAAGTCTTGGCTGTCAGGTTGGGAACAACTGCTTTAAAACAAAGGTTTGGAAGGAAAAAAACAGAACTTTAAAGAAGTTTAAATTATTTGTGACATCAGATGAAAAGTGATTCTCAATTACTACACATTTCACAAGTTGCTTCAAAACTGTATCTACTACCCTTTCCCAGTTGCTACTAGAAGGCAATAGGAAGTTACAGGTGACCTCTGTATGGCTTTCTCAGATTGCCTCATTCGGACACATTAGAAGGTTGTATCAGTCCAGCTCAGCTCCTTCAGTGAAATACACCTCTAGTGGCCTTTACCTTTAAATGTGGTGGTAGTTTATGACCTAGAGCCAGAGTCAGAAAAGTAAATGCTGTATTTAGTTCCGAATACATTTGTTTATAATGGTAGTCATTCATCCAAAAACAACATGTAATTTTGTCCATTAATACTTTGGTCAGATTGATGTTCACAAATAAACTGTTATTCAAATAAACAGTTATTCAAAAACACATAAAAATTTAAACATTTTCTTTCTCTTCTCTAATCTTAGAAGAACAGTATCACACCAAAGTCATTTTAGAGCTCACCATCCAAAGCCAGCATTGAAGGAAAGTCCTTGTAGTTGGAATCAGTCACGCATGTTTTCCACAGGTTGGACCAGAAAGTAGCTGTGGTGATGACCGTGCCATCCACAGAGAGCACCTTCCAGTAGCCTGTCGGCAGGGTCGATGACACCAGGATCCACCCCGAGATGGTCAGGAGAAAGGCCACAATCTCGGATGCCATGTTGCCCATTTTCCCCTCAGGCTTGGAGGTCTGGACTGAGACAGGACAGAGATCTTTCCTTCAGGAGCGACAGAGAGGAGGTGGGAGTGTTAGTCCAGGACAGGTACATCAGCTTTCACTGTTCTGCAGAATGCTTCTCCTTCACCTGCTCACCTCTGCATCTTAGAACCAATATCTTTTAACTGAGACACATCGATTGTTATATATTTTGTTTGTGTGCTGTGGTAACAAGGTGCAGGGGTGTATACACTACTCATCCCTCTGCACAGTGTCCATAGAATCAGCAAGGGGATCTGCAGAGGAAGGAAGCCTTTAATTGAAAGGATCTGACAAGTATTTGACAGAAAAGGAACACGAGGTAGGAAAGTTTGTATGGTGAACTCACTGAATGAAGGATCTGTATTTTATATGCTTTTATAAAGTTCAGTTCATTTTGCAATGCTGCAACAGAGGTTAATTATTCCGTTTTTAAATCCTCAGCACTAAACCAATGAGGTTTGCAAAGTTTGAACACAAATACACTTCTTTTACAGCATTATAGTGCCATCGTGTGGCAGTAATGAGAAACTGTTTTAAGCTCTGAATGGCTTTTCCTACTCCAACAAGATCAAAATCAAGAGATCAAAGATTTTTATTGTCAATTCACTATATATGCATGACATACAAAAAATTGAAATGCCGTTTCTCTCTCACCTAGTATTGAATGCCATACCATTTAGGAAACTAAAATAGAATAAAAGTAGAGTAAAAATAGAACAAAAAGAATAAGAAAACTAATTAAAGTAAATAGGCTAAAGCTAGACGGTACAACCTAATAGGCTAGGATTCAAACCCTGTACAATCAGTGACAGTAGTGCAAGTAATAACAAGGAGATTGTCAGATGGTTGTGAGATTGAGATGCACATGGACAGTAGTGCAAATGACCAACAGCAGCAGATTTACATGTAATATAACAAGAAGGGGGAATGTACTGGGTTTGTGCAAAACCTGCTGCTGTATTCACTATGCATTGCAGGGTCCTTCTGCAGGAAAATTCCACCTCTGCCAAATACAACATTAAAGTACTGCTTACATGTTAATTGGTTACACATATATATACCTTTGGGCAGCTTAAAGTGACATTGATTTCTTTATAAAATCTTAAAATAATACAGGGTTAAATCACCACCTGTATATAAATATGGATGACACATCACCACTTTCATCCACTATGCAAAAGTGGGAGCTGTCATGGTGTCTTTATTTATTTATAGTAACATATATATATATCTAGGGAAGCAACATATAAAGTTTGATATTTTAAAAGGAAAAACTCAATACACAATGGTTTAAAATGTTTTTCTGTTCACAAATGAACACTGGTACATTTCTTACAGTTTGTCATGTTTGTGTTCTTTCTGAATTTAATCAGTTTTTGTCTGTGTTGCTGTCATGTTCTAATTTCTTAACAGGACACATGGTGATTAGTGGTTTGGCTGTTGCTGTAAACTAGCATGATTTAATGTAATAATTATCATTAACAATAAGATGACAAGAAACAAATCAGAGAAGACAAAGTAAAAAAAACATAGCCTGTGGGCTGTGTTACAGTAACATTTAGTAGAAAAACAAGCAAAGGAGAAACTGTGTGGCTTCCTTTTGTTAGAAATTAATAATTCAGTCAGATAATTATAGACATTAATTTGTTATTAATGCAGTTAGTAATATTTGAAGTCTGCTCTAATATGCTCTGCTTCAAGGTTAGAAGATAATGTTAAATCTGTAAAGTGTATCTTGACGTCAATTGTTTTCTTGTATTAATCTTGTGTTAGATTTATGCCTGAATGATTGTTTTAGTTACACACCATGTAACAACATACACGCACATGGAGTTCTTCATTTGTTCTGATTAATGCTTGACGCATGTGGAGCATAAGATAAGTGAAGGAGACGTCGGACTGTTTCCAACTCGTGATGATTCTATATCTGTTTGCGTAAGGGGTTAGCTCAAGAAATTGTATAAATGTATTAGGCTCTGTGTTCCAGGGAGTTCTCTTCTCCAGCAGCCTGTCTGAAGGAGAGAGCCACCCGGGTTGTGCTTTTGTGACTTTTGACTTGTGACTTTTTAAATAAACCAGCACTAAAATCAAGAAAGACGGACTCCTTCCTTACTCAGATCTCACCAATAAAAGAACTGGGGTATTACACTTTCCTTCCTGGTTCAGCTCAGCAGTGGCTGCTGAGCAACTATATCATGAACAGAACTTTGAGCCATAGGTTTTGGGAGGAGTGAGACACAGGCAACATGATGGAGAGAAAAACCAAAGGAAGGTGAGTCAGAAAAGCTCTTTACAGTTGTGGGTTGCTCTGTTTTTTTTTGTAGTTTTTTCCCAAACAAGGATTACATCTAATCTCTCTATAGATAAAGAGGGATTTTTTTTTCCCAGAGAAAAACATTTCCAGTCATCTAAATCCTCTTGGTGGCATTGTAGCAAATCTGATCCTGTGACACTTTCTGGGGCCATAAAATTGGCACACTTGCAGTGTGGACATAGTCAGCATTCCATGAAAACTGAACCCAGATGTGGTACTATCAGTAAAGGTGATGCTGAGAGCACTGTTCTGTAAGTCTCTAGATAGTTATAGGCTTGATGGCCTGTTCCCATGGCTGCTGTTGCTGAGCAGTGTCTGAGGGGAACTCCTGTAAAGCTGTTGATGAAAGGGAAGTAGCTGGAGCAAGTTGTTATCTGTTTTATCCTGTTGATGACATCTCTTTAAGCCCATTAATGTGATTCTGTAATAATTTTAACCTTTCCATTGTTAGAAAAACACTAACTTACTAATTCATTTCGAATAAGGAAAAACTATTACTGCTACTGTTGTTGAGGCAGGTGCTCTCATTTATAGAACAGTCTATTGAGCTGCTAATGGATGATGTATTAATTGGAATAAGACACCCAGTAGAACATATACCCTGTGTACATGACGATATGGAAATACATTGTGTTTGCATGGTGAATTTTGTTGTGTAGGCCACAACACAATAACTTCCTTAATACCATGAATTGTTGTACAGGTAACAGGGTTCCTCTTTGGATTGATTGTAATTTTGGTGATTCTTTAGGGTTCCATAACACTCACTGAGGGAAGAGTATTGTATCAGGATAACGTTTGCCTTGTTTACATGTGACTGGATTTTTTATAAGTTTCCTTGAACTTTGAAGTGGGATAAGGAAGAGAAGAGGGAGGTGTCTTTGTCTCTCTACTCTCTCCTAGGTCTTTTTTGTCAGTCAAGGAAACACCTGCAGTGTGCCAGAGGGCGTCTGTCATCTATAGGCTGCTAGGCTATTTATTTATAGGCTGCCCTTTGTGTGCACATATAACATGCCTGTCTGGTTGTGTTAGGGATAAGAAAGGGACAGAGCAAGCAAACAAATCTGTGTGAAATTTTATGCTGCTATTTCATTTCACATGGAGAAATTATGATTAGAATTATGCCAAAATGCTTCAAATTAAGTCAGATCTGTTAAGATGGGTGCACTGGGTTTCCTCTTGTAATGAGAGACACACTGTTTACTGTGTTATTATGGGATTAAATACCGACAGATTGCATGACTGTACAAGTTCAAAAGAGTGTGTATGTGTAACAAGAGACATACAGAGACAGGGAACTTGAGATTTTACTGAGTAATTCTTGCCATAGGCCAAGCACAGAGAAAGAACTCTCTTTGTTCCTTTGTTTTAACTGAACTTTTAGGAACAAGCTCTGTTATTTTACCCTAACGGTATCATTTTGATTAGCATTGGTGACTACTACACTGGTCAACACAATTACAGCAATTTTTTAAAACACAAAATTCAACACAATACATTATAAACTTTTACATAGGCTACATAATTCCAGTGAGTCGCACTGAACTGAAACGTTTTGTCAATGAACCCATGCTAATCTCTGTTGTTTTTTAAACTATAAACCCCTTTGATTTATACTTATGGAACAATCTTTTCTGGTTTTATTTTTACATATAAAGGCGACTTCTAGAAGCATTTTAATCTTAAGTGATACCGTAAATTGTGACTGTGGATATAATACAGTTCTGACAGGACATCCAGATCCCAATCTTACAAGTAAATCAAGGTAAATATATACTGAACACGCACCCTGGTAATTGCTGTCAATAAGCCAATCGTGTGAATGAAGACCAGCAGGCACAGCCAATAGCTTGGAGAGGGCATTATTTCCAACCAATCGGGTGTTTGCTGGGCGGAGCCTTTAATGTGCGGTTATAAATGTGTTTTAGTAACGTTAGTGTACTGTACGTACAGGAATATATACAGTATATAAAAGTGATGACCTTCTTGTAATATGTGTGAGCTTCGAAGTTAAGACACATAGTCAGGAGCAGCAGTTTTCAGAAGAAGAGAAAGTTGAAGGGAAGGTGCCGTGTGAGTGCGGACAACCATGGAAAAAGCGAGTCAATATGCCAAGACCAACCCGGCAGCGAAGGCAAGCCTTCTGTCCAAGATATTTTTCTGGTAGGTGGACAAAACGCCGAGGATGCTAGCTAACGTTACTGGCAGCGGGGGATTTGAAAATATTCCGAGACACTTTGTTCATATTTGTCATTTCTCATATTACTTTATTCTATAGCAGTAACCATTTATACCATAGGGCAGTAGTAATACACTGTCGTAGTTAAGTGTAAAGTGAAACCAGAACAAGAAGTGCTGCCATGACCATTCTTTAAAATGTGACTGGCGTTTTCACAGTCGGTCAGAAGTTCAGTGTAATCAGAAACGTCCGCTGACATCATACGCAGCGTGTTTATGCAATACTTATTTTATGTTGAATCATCTGCTTTGGTTACTGCAGTCAAATGGCAAAGTTGGTGGCGTGTGCCAGCTCTCTGTCAAATAGACTGTGTATTTAATGGGGTCATAATGTTGGCTTTTAGCTCAGGATCATGAACTATTGGTTCGCCACACTTTTAACATAAATGGGGGCCATTTTCTGCCATTAATATATCTAACAAGTATTCGTAGCTGCACTTGTATTTAATGTGCTGCTCGGACCACCTTGTAGAATTGCTCATCATCTGAATTAATGTATGAATTGATCTGTTGTACACTTGTGTCTGTGTGTCTTTCTCCAAATTCTCCTCCTCTGACTCCTGTAATTATTCCTCTTCTTCAGGTGGCTCAATCCTTTGTTCCACACTGGATACAAACGCAGGCTGGAGGAAGATGACATGTATGAAGTGCTGGCAGAGGACAGGTCGGAGAGACTGGGACAGGACCTGCAGAGGTACAGGGGCCTTTAAAATCATCATTTAGCATGTGAATAGTTACCACAGTAAACTATCACAAGCAGTGTTTTAATTTAGCAGTTCTACCACATTTACATCACATATTACTTCTGTAATTACATTCTTACTTGCCATTAATGGAGCCCTAATTCACTGTGTGAAAAATTTCGGTATGGAACATCATTCAGATTTATCCAAATTCTTCACTGACCAGAAGGTCACTGGTTCAAACCCCACACTCACCAGCAGGATCAAATCAATAGTGGCAGTGTTATTATTGTATAGTAACATGAAAACTACTGGTTTTGAAACATTTCTCATAAATGGAAATAAAATAATATACCTGATGAAAATGATAAACTAAATCTAAACATAACAAATAATGTTCGCTAAAAAGTAACTAAAATAAAATAAGAAAAGACAAAAAATAGTTGCCGTTTTTGTTTCATTTAGGATGGTGGGGGACCCATAGTCTGTATAGCTGGAACCTATAAATTTTATATGGTTATATAGTGCCAGGACCAACACTTAGATCTTATCAAGTGAGGGAGTGAGGTGAAGATCTCAGGAAAAAAAAGTTGGAGCCCTGTATGGAACCATTTTGAATTTAATAGCAAAGCAGCACAAGCAAATGCATTGTTTTTTCAGATAGCTGTGGTGTAGAAATCAAAGGAAAAAAACCCAACAAATCTTGAAGTTCAGCTTTAAAATTTCCATCTGAATGAACAGGCAGAATTCATGGAAAGAGATGCAGCGAGAAAGAGCATTAGCAACAAGGCTAACATTAGCAATATGTCCAGCAAGCAGCAAAGCCGAACACACTGCTTGAAAAGATCAGAGCAGTGGATAAACTTGCTCTATTGAATACAGAAAATGGGGAAAAGCACTCATCAGTCTATTCATCAAGACTCATATGTCAACCGGATTATGTGACATACAGGCTCTTAAAGAATTTTGATCCAAAATTCAACAAACTAAACTATGAACTAAATAAAACTAAATGGAAATTCAGGTTGAATCAAAAAATAATTACTTAATTAACTAATTTGAAAATGATGCACTATTATACCCTGCTCAGTGGGACAGGTGAAAAAGCAGGGCTTGCCTCACCCTCATTAACACAAATGTGGTGCCCTTGAGCAAGACCCTTAACCTGAACTGCATCAGTGGAGCTTCTCAGTGGCCACATGTCAGTCTGTGGTTGTACAGGGCAACTTCCAGGTGTGAATGTGAACAGGGCATCATGGAAAAAAATGACCAATATCTGTATTTATCATTTGGTGAATGTGAGAGGCTCAATTACTGTATCTATTTATTTGTATCTGTTACTGTATCTGTGTCTAGAAGTCAGTTGGAGTCCACCTGTGGAAAACTGAGGTGATTGGACATAGTTTAGAAAGGCAAGGTCCCACAAGTCAAGACAAACCCAAGGGTTGTGTTATAGTCCTCATCCTTGAAGCCTTTTTCATATAACAGTGACATATTAAACACTTGAGCAGAATTTAAACTGCCAACTTTAACTGGGTTGATTATAACAGACACATTACAAAGGAACTTGACAAAACTGGTTTGCCAGGAGCACTAAGACCCTGTGTACTTATGCTGCCAGGCTCTGCAAAGACCCGATGCACACCTTCCAAAATTTAGACATCTACACCTGCTCAAGGCTCATGGTCTGTGAGATCCCTGATCCACACGTCCACTATCATCTCCTTCCAGAAACAACCAAAACCATATAACTCAAGTATTTATAAAAACAAGAAAATAAATAGATCTTCGAATAATTGTTGAATAGATTCCAGCAAATATAGAATAACATTTTAGCCTGAAATGCCCATTCCTAGTGGTAACATACACAAGTATATTTGGGTAATTACAAAATGTGTACCTTTAGCTGTGTTTTTGTAAAGCCCTGTGTTTTACAACATGTTCAGGCAGTTAACAGGAACAAATAGTAAAGTTTTAGTAAGTCTGGTTTCTAAATACAAACACCCACACCAGTAATACTCTGGTTGTGTCCTCCAGATGGAGAGAAAACGAAGTCATCACTGCAGAAATGTGGATGTCACACACACACACACAGATTGATCACTGGGTTGTTTCATGGTTTGTATTCTAGGAAGGTTTCAGTCAAATTTCATTACTGAAAATATTGTCAGCTGTTAAATCGACTGTGAAATCTGGATTTATCAGTGGCTGAATGAGAGTGAAATTCTGTTAGTCACGAGTCATTATTTGTTAGCTTGAGTTTCTTCAAAAGAGCTGAGACTAGATTGGCTTTGAGCCACTCTGTTGTAAAGGAAAAAAGTCAACAGCCAAGGAATTTTTACAGAGATATGGAGTGTAGCCTTTGAACGCTGGTCCTGGGACAATTAAATAAAGATGTTTATGATGGACCAAAAGTTTTATAATCTCACAAAGTCTAGTGAATGATTTCTGTGGCAGTTTATGGTGTCATTACTTTAATGACTGGTTCACACAGACAAAGGACCTGTTAAAGGAGATGACTGGTAACATTCTATCAATAAATCACTGGAAAAGACAGTGAGCTGAACTTCCTAACAAGCATGTGCCTCATCTATCATATTCCCCATGCCACAGAGCTTTATTGTTGCTGTGCTGTTGCACTAGGTGACATGTTCCTTCATCACCATCAACACACAAACTGTAGTTTATTTGAGTCAGCTCAGTCCCACACACACCATCCTGCTGCTTCAAACACTCACTAAATCACCCAATGTACCGTACATTAATACACAGCTGAAAATAGTCCCCAACTAATGCACAGTATATGTCTGAGTAAGGTTTACAAAAAACAAAACCTGCTGTGGGGTTATGGTTAGCGTTTGTTGAACCTTTTCTTTTTTTAAGGAACGGTGTGTCAACAGACAGGGTAGGGAAGTCGGATAGTTGTGACATGTTAGAAAATACCTGATTCTTTTGTTGGAAGTGCGAGAAGTGAAGACAGGAGAGGGCTGTTTAAAATCAACATGAAGTTTACTGGAAGTCTGAGCACAGGTAAGGCCATATAGCGCTGGGATTAAGTTTTACAATACATTTTATCTTCTTGGTGTTATGGTTTAGGTCCCCTCACCAGGAGGGTGAGGGAGAACTGAGGTAGGACTCAAGATAACTGACCCAGGTGCTAGTAAAAAACAGGTGGTTTTAATGGTAGGGATTACAAAAGAAAAAGGAACAGTCAATGAATACATACCACCAGGGCTGAGCAAAGATGGCAGAGGAGAACAGGACAAACAGGTACAAAACTAACGGCAGGAGGATGAGGACGGACAAGTAAATAGACAGGCTAACCTCAAGGACTGGCGAACAAAAGGATAGCACAGGAACTGTCAGCTTGGATAAAAAAAAGTAACATCTGGCTAACCTCATGGACAAAAAAACAAACAAAGAGGTCCACAACACAGGAACTGTGAGCGTGAACGTCTAACACCAAAAAACACATAACCAACGTACATAATGAGATCCACTGCACAGGAACTGTCAGCTTGGATAAAAAAAAGTAACATCTGGCTAACCTCATGGACAAAAAAACAAACAAAGCGGTCCACAGCACAGGAACTGTCAGCGTGGACCATATAACACAAAACATATAACCTACGTATAAAATGAGATCCAATGCACAGGAACTGTCAGCGTGGAAAACAAAATATGTCTTATACACACCACGAAAAAAGGGCTGTTAATGGGGTATGCACGTTACAGTACTTAACGTAATGCTCCAGCGACAACGGAGCATCTGCCAGAGGTATAAATAAGGTGGAAAGTAATCATCACCTAACGCGCCTCAGCTGTGCGCAACAACCCACGAGTCACTAATTACAAAAAGCGACACAGCTGAGGCACGTATCCCACAAAAAAAGAGAAAAGTAGGAGAGAGAAAAGAAAGAGAAGCAGGTCATGCCAAGTGGACCTGACACTTGGGCTGCTCCGCCCTGGACAGGGGTGCAACCTTCAATACTTCGTGATCCTATTGGTAATTTGGTGTGAGCCGGAGCTCACACTTCCTTGTTGGAATGTGGTAAAATCTAGGCATGTGTGTGTGCGTGTGTGTGTCTCAGATGGCAGCTTGATCTTAATCAAGAGCACCGAACAACGGGTGGCCTGAGTTGCAGGCCCCCTGTGTGTGTGATGCTAATTTGTATGTTAAACTGACCAAGTGGTCATCTCAGGTTGTGGGCCCCCTGGCTCTGTAGGACACCCCAAGACAACACAGAATCTTGGAATATGCTAAGTGGATCTAAGTGTGAGTGCAAAACAGGCCAACAGGTCCCTGCCAAAATGCATACAGGCTGTCCGGTCACCAGGAGATGCAGCCATCCAGTCTCAACAGAAGTTACAGAAAGTAAGCAGATTCTGCTTCATTACAATTGTAAGATATATAAGCAAGGAAAATAAATGTATTAAAAATAAAGGAAAATAAAGTTATGAAAGGTAACTAAAGGGAACTAAAGTTATGAAAAGTAACTAAAGGGAACTAAAGGTATGAGAAGTAACTAAAGCTTATAAAGTAACTACAGTCTAAAAGACTCAAATCACACACACATCATCAGTTTGGGTCTTCTTATGGAATTTTTAGCAATAAGAAGAACACACAATCATAGTTTGATAGGGATGCACTGATGCCGATACTAGTACCAGGTATCGGGTCCGATACCACCCTCTAGTAGTCTGCTCATACTTGTAAAAGTTGTCCACCAATACCAATTAATGGCAACATTACATTAAGATAATGCTTCTCTGTTGTGTGTGTGTGTTCTCATAGTCGCTTTATATTGAGGACGGTTTTGGAAAGTGAGGAGATTTTGGCTGGTTCTCATTGTCTGAAACACATTTTTGAGGTTTAATATTTGGTTTTAGGGTTCAGGTTAGAATTCAGTTTAGGTTAGGGTAAGGGTAAAGGTTCTGCATTTAATTCTGATTGTTAAGTATTAGGGTAAGGGGCTAGGGAATGTATTGTATCAGTGAGTATCCTCACAAACATATAAATACAAGTATGTATGTGCCCCTCCTTGTCTGTCTCAGACAGACACGTAAAGGCTCTATTCTATTATAAAGCCTCGTTCGGTTCTTTCAAACCAGGAACTCAGTGAGACGAAGCGGACCACTTGAGTATATAAAAAATATAACCGTGCTGGTTTATTCAAAGAGTCACAGGCAAGAATTAACATTACACGTCCAGGCATCTTCCACCCCCAGAGCTGCTCGCAGGCAGCCCGGAAGAAGCAAGACCCAGAACCTAGAAACCTATATAATATTAATCCTTCTGGGCTAGCCCCATCCTAGACAGGCCACGTCAAACCGTGACGGCACCTGATATGCCAGCTTGGCAGCTGAGCAGAGCAGTAGACAAAACATGAAGAAAATAATGTGTGTGAATGTTGATTATGTGGTGTGTATCTAAAAACACTGTAACACAACAATTCACATTAAGAAAAATATTATGGTTACTTTTACCGTCGTAATAACATTTATCCCTGACTGCAGCCTTTCTCTGCTTTAACTAACCTTGCATTTAACAGCCTGAGGAAGACATCCTGGCTACACTAACATCTTCTAATACAACAGATCTCTGAATATCTATCTAACTAAGAAATAACCTAACACACGCAGGCACAAAGTTGCATTTTACGCAGATGTCAACATGTGGCAACATACATATGTGCCACAAAACCACCAGTAACGGAGACAGTAATTAATCAAACACCGGCTGAAGAAATAGAACACAACAACAAACTTTCAGAAATGTGACATCTCTGGTTTAAAGTAAGAACATGTCACCACATTAAACATTTAAACTGCTGGCGTGCTCCTAAACTGTGATGTTCTGGTCAGGGGGTTGTTAAATCATTACATCCTAACACAGGGTCGTACTCCTACAAAGGTTCAGATCCACTGTATTACAGTATGCTGTGTAGCAGGCTACAGAAATTCAGTCAGTTACTTGTTATTCATTAGGAATGGCGGCAGTGCTGTATTTCTTATCACAGAAAGTTTTCAGTAATTTGCACAGTCTTCTGTTACATAGGATATTTTATTCAGTCACTGTCAGAAAGTAAATCTCATGAAATAAAAAACTCTTATCTAAAGTCATTGCACTTTTATGGTAATTGTATCATTAAGTACTTGTATCAGTACTCAGTATTGACGAGTACTCGTACTTGGTCTGAAAAAAGTAGTATTGATACATCCCTACAGTTTGCTCTTGTTAGTGAATGTTGTCATGGCCATGTAGTATGATTATTACTGTCTTAGCAACTACCACAGGAGTTTCCATTAACAACCAAGACTCTGGCTGTTGGTGTAAAAATAGCGGTGCAGGTTTGAACTCATCTTTGACCAAACACATTATCTGAAAGGGAAGCTGGTTTATGCAACTGTCTAATGTCTGTCTTAAATACGAGCCCTGACACATCAAGGCTTGACGTTCTGTTGCACAAAAAAGACAAAGTAATGTGGAATCTTTATCTGACAGATACTGGGATCTTGAGGTCCAGAAGGCCACCAAAGAGATGCGGTCACCGAGACTCACCAAAGCCATCATCAGGTGCTACTGGAAACCATATGCAATGCTGGGATTCTTTACTTTTGTTGAGGTTTGTGTTGGAAATGAGGTAAATAAGATGCATTTTAAATCATGGTTTTAAATAGTGGTAATTATATTGGTTTAACAGCAACGTATTTAACACAAAGCAAATGGAACAAATGATTAAATGTGTTAGTTTCATTGCAGCTCAACAAAGAAAGCACTGCCCTGTTCAACAGGTCTTGATCAGAACATGATGTGATTTATCAGACCCTTGAGAACACAGTCACCTACTGCTGTGCTGTAATTGGTTTGTTGTGGTGCTCACCCACTTTCATCTCCTTCCCTGCATATCAGGAGGCCATTAAGGTTATCCAGCCTGTTGTGTTGGGAAAGATGATTCAGTTCTTTGAGAATTACAACCCAAATAACATGAAGGCTTTCTACGAGACCCTTGGCTATGCAGCCGCTTTGTCTCTCTGCACCCTCAGCCTGGCCTTGCTTCATCACCTATACTTCTACCATGTCCAGAGAGCAGGCATGAAGATCAGAGTGGCCATGTGTCACATGATCTATAAGAAGGTCAGTGGAAAGAACATACACTTCATTAACTGAACTCTGTTCAACCTGCGTGTCAAGGGTGTGGTCTGCCAAGTTGTGTTAATCCTGTAGTAATTAATTAATTAACCTTTAACACTTAATGACAACATTTGAATGGGTTTATTTGGCTCCCCTCTGCATTTTATACGTCTCTATTTTATTTACACCCACTCATGCAAAAGGCTAGTTCAAAATAATGTTTTGCAGATTTGTAAAGTATTTAGCCATAGTTGAATGGATAGTGTTTATGCTATTTAAAATGTAGGAGTTTGGGAGTGATGTTGACTGATGGTGATTCCTGTATTTTTCTAGGCTCTGTGTCTCAGCAGTTTAGCCATGGGAAAGACCACTACAGGCCAGATCGTCAACCTCCTTTCCAACGACGTCAACAAGTTTGATGATGTACGTGAAATTTAAGCTTTTAGAAAAGAAAAAGTACAGAGGCTGCTATTTTACAAAATAGCTGGCTCACAGCAGTTCCTCATTTACACTAATAATTTTCTGTCGCTGCGTTTACAATTTGGTAAAAAATGAAATGCTTGTATGACAGAACTGACAAAAGCAAACATCTTCACATGTAGATGTGGTACTATGGATAGAGTGACGTCTCAACCCCAGTCGGTCTCTCTGGAAGTCTGCAGCACGTGCCTAAGGCCACTTATGCATTAGCACAGCCCTCACAGACATCATATGTACAAGGTCATTATGCCCCCGAGTCAAGTGCAGTGATGTCTCGACTGGAATCACAGAGTGGATAAAACAGAACCAGGCCTCTATGACTAAAAAACAATTCCCAGAAACCAGAGCCATTTTGGCTTGCATTTGGAAAGGTGTCTAAGCTGTGACATGTCCATTACATGTAAGTAAGGGAGGCCTCATCTCTTTTTCATTTGTCACAGCAGTGATTGCCATCTTGGGTAAATAAATGAGAGGGATGCTGAATTAATGAGCTTGAAGATCGAACATCATTCATCATCTGAGAGTTAAGATCCTGCTCCCATGCAGTTGCAGTTTGTCAGAGGGCCTTCCCCTGGCCCCCTAAGCTTGCTATAAATAACAGATATTAGGTCTTTGTGTGACAAGAGACAACGAAGAAATGCATGTTGGTGCCTCAGGGAAGTTGACAAAGTATCTGATTTGCAGATATCTGAAAAATGGGTATTTGGTAGGCTTTTCAGAAGTTGTTCAGAAGGCTTAATCTATCCCACCACCTGGGTGACTGAGAATCTGCATTGACTACTAATAGAGTCACGTCATGTGATGAAAGGGAGTGTAGTCTGGTTACATAAACCCCAGGAATGCGTTTGCAAGTCAACACTTGTGAAGCTTTTATGTTATAGTGTGATTGTACAGTATCGTATATTGGTTGGATGGGAGGGGCATTTTTTTTTTTAATCTGTGTGGTATCAGTGTCTCTGAGAAACACTGGCTGCCTTTTCCTAGCGTGAGGTTCAGGTTTGTTTATGCTCTGAGCCTTTGTGGAATCAAACCCAGTGTTTTTTCCATGAGAACTGAGTTTCATTTTAATCAGTGGGTCAGATCCTGCTGTGAGAAGCTGGGGTTTTTGAGGGCATTCAAGATCTTGGCAGTGAGCAGTGCTCTCCTTCTGCTTTGGATTAAAGTCTTTTGAAAGTCCCTGTTGATTGCCCAGTACTGAATGAAAACAGATCATTACACAGACTTTTTCAGAACTAAAATTGATTTACTCACATGTGTTGTAATAAGAAATTGTTGTGTTACTGATTTATTCATATCAAATTCTCTTGAACAGGTGACTATCTTTCTGCATTTCCTGTGGGTGGGGCCCCTTCAGGCAGCGGCGGTCGTGGGGCTGCTGTGGATGGAGATCGGTCCATCATGCTTGGCAGGCATGGTGGTCCTTATGTTCCTGATGCCCATGCAAACCATGTTTGGACGGCTCTTTTCTAAGTTCAGGTAACTCACTCACAAAATATGATTCTGCCTATTCCAGTCACTCATGTTTGTCAGTGAACACCATAGAGGTCCGAAACTGCCATACGTGCACAGATTTGTCTGAGCCACGTGCATACAAGAATAAAAATGTAAATTTTGCAACAGTCAGGTTGCACAGTTTCCTCAAAAACTGCTTGGTTACAACATGCTCTTCCAGTTTGAATGCATGTACTCCTTTGTTTATTTTTAAGTGGTCTGTGAGAGGCCGACAATGAAAAAGCAAAGAACAAAAGACAGCGGGCCTCATTTACTAATATGTTTTACTTTGCACACAAAATAGGTGCACCCGCAAAATTACTGTCAGGTTCATGGCACATGCGCAGATTTGTTCTTACCACCATGCTAAGAATTGGTCAATCACAATCATTCTAAAATGACAAGTGCATGCCTGCAGTTTGTAATTAAAATACTGCCACACGACCATTTCTCTATATAACGAAATAGGTTTCCTATGTTTTCCTAGAGTCTGAACAAATTCAGGTTAGAAAATAATGATAATTTGTGTGTAAATTGTTCGTAAGCAAATTTTTTAAATCTCAGATTTGCGCTTATGCACAGTAAAGTTCTGACAGTGGTTGCATGGTCAGATATTGGATAAACAGTTTGCTGCTTGCCAAATGAAAATGGGACCTCTACTAGAGCCACTCACACAAAAACTGCTGTACAAATTAGATGGTTAGTGTAGATGTAATGAGTCTCTAGCTGAATTTTTAATATTTGTCTTGTTTCACACATGTTGGCTATGTTCATGCTAAAAGACTGAGCCTACAGCTGCATGTCCCAGACAGAAAGGGTAAAGGTTTAAGTATTATCTGGACTTACCGGTTACTCACTATGTTGTAGTTCTATTTTTCAAAACTGATTTAAATTTACTTTAAATAGACTGAAGAGGAGGTAGCTGTTTATGAAATTGAAATATTTTTCACACTATAGAAATTCATATACAACTGCCACATACAAAATATGCATGCTGTCATGATTGTTTCTGTTGTTAGTGTGTAAGTAAACAAAATGTCTCCTTTTCTTTCCAGGAGTAAGACAGCAGTGCTAACTGACAGCAGAATTCGCACAATGAATGAAGTGGTGTCTGGAATTAGGATCATCAAGATGTACGCCTGGGAAAAACCGTTCGCTGCTCTGGTCTCTGATGTCAGAAGGTAAAACCATGAAAGGCTTCTTATGCTCAGCTGTGTTCTCCACACTAAGGAGGGTTTTTGATCAAAATAAGCATTAAAACAGGTCTTGACTATGTACAATTTATCAAGCAGTGTTTATACTTTTCCTTGTATAGACTGTTCCATAGTCAGTGTCATTATTTGCATAATTTGTTGATAATTAGCTCTTTCATAAATACCATGTGTTGTAAGTTGCTCAACATTGGAAGTACAAACACTGGTGTATGCAGTTAAGTATAGTCAGGAGTGTAACGACTTGTACATTGGTGAAACTAAACAGCCGCTTCACAAACGCATGGCCCAACACAGGAGGGCTAACCCCTGTGGACCAGAGTCAGCAGTCCACCTCCACCTGAAGGACAAAGGACATTCTTTTGAGGACAGTGAAGTCTAGATCCTCTCCAGAGAACATCGCTGGTTTGAGAGGAGTTAAGGAAGCTATTTTTGTAAAAATAGAACACCCCTCACTAAATAGGGGTGGTGGACTAAGACAAAACTTGTCATCCATCTACAATCCTCTTTTGAGATCTCTGCCCAAACATGCCCACCAGGACAATAGGCGTCGGTCGACAGGGGAGGATTCAAAGACAGGTAACGACTCTCACCAATACTGGGCTGCAACAACTCAGTCGTTAAGGGACATTGTTGGCCTTCAATGGACTGAAACACCACCGAGGGGGATAAATATCTCCAGCTCAACACCAGTCAGTCAGAACTGATAAAGCCTCTTGGATGAGAAGTGAAACGTCTTCGACCTAGAAATCTAAGTCCAGTTGATTTTTTCTAAGTTTTTTCAGTTTACTATGACCTGGATGACTGAGAATCTGCACAGACATATGTATGCTGTCGGTTGCAGTTCTTAGAAAGAATGAAAATTGGAATGGGCCAAAAATGGAATTGGCAGGTCAGGCTTAAAAAAAATTGGAAAACAGAATCGGCCCAAAAAATTCAATCGGTGCATCTCTGGTCCAAATAGGGGGGCACTGCCTCCACACTGATGTAGTGCTTGTTATGTAGTGATAGCAACAGGTAGCAGGTTTGATGTTAAGTCTGTCAGCCGATAATCAAACAGCAACAGGTGCTGGAGATGCTGTTAACTTTATTGTAATGTTGTTAAATGTTGGCACAGACAGCACTGGGCGCTTCCAAGATGGCTTCAGCCACTACAAGTTTTACTAAACTGTTTGTGATCCTGCTGGGACACGTGGCGATTTGTGTACAGTCTGTTAGGGTTGTGCGCATGCAGCACGTGCTGTGTTGTGTGCTAGAATTAAATACAGTGGAAACCACGGCCAATTGGCGGTGTGCTGCTCTTCTTTGGTGTGTATCTAGTCTAATTAGTATTGAAAGACTGATTAAATGTGTACCTGTCGGAGTTTTCACTGGAAAACTTCCAAGGATCTTTTAATATCTTTCAATTTGTGTGCAGTGCAGAATTCAGTCAGAACTGGATACAAATGAATAATGATGTTTGTGATGGTAGCCTTTAAGTTGTTGAATCAGTTTGATGTAAGCCAG